AACTAAAAAAAAAAAAAAATCACTTCTTCATAGAGATTCAGAAACCCTGACCAAGAGAAAGGAAAGTAAACAATGAAATGGACTCCACTTCCATTTCTTGATGGTGAATGTTTAAACCAGAGATAGAAAAATGAAGAAAAGACATACCTACATCCTAGACACCAAGTGCCCATTTAAACCTCTGTAAGAAATAAATCTAAAAGATCAAGAATTTCTCCCTGAAACTTAGGTTGGAATAGAGCTCTATAAAAACCTATGTAGGTGGTCTTGAAAATGTTCCAAAAGGCTTGTCTTGCCTGATCTGCCTGAAGTAGAACAGAGTGACTGGAAACACAATAGCCAGACTCTCTACTTAATGAAGACATGTCCCTTGGGTACAGTGACTTGAGGAAAACAGGGTATTGAAAACACTCTTTAGTCACTTTTTAACCCAAGCAGGGGGTAAACTACATTTGGAGACTTAAATTATTACAGAACTTGTTGAGCTGAAAGTTTTTTTTCTATTTTGTACAAAAAAATCTAAGGCTCACAGTTTTAATTCAGTGAGAAATCTCTAATTCTTTGACCTACAGAAGGCAGACAATGATTTTCACAGACGAGAATTAAATTTTCTTAAATTTTCATTTTTTAAAATTTTTATTTTTATTCTTTTGAGTTAGAGTCTCATTCCGTCACCCAGGCTGAAGTGCAGTGGCATGCTCACGGCCACCACAGTCTCAACCTACTGGGCTCAGGTGATCCTTCCACCTCAACCTTTCAAGTAGCTGGAACTACAGGTACGTGCCACCACACCCAGCTAATTTTTTGATTCATTGTAGAGACAAGGTCTCACAAAGTTGCCCAGGGTGGTCTGGAACCCCTAGACTCAGGCAATCCTCTCACCTCGGCCTCCCAAAGTGCTGGGACTACAGGTGTGAGCCACCATGCCTGGCTAAATTTTCCTAAATTTTCAAATTAAAAAATGGGTATATCATTTAGCAAAAAGTTTGGGCTTGGCTACCTATTTATCACCTAGATTACTTAAAATGCAAATTCCTAAGCCCCATTTCCAGAGATTCTGAATCAGCAGTAGTGGAAGCCCAGGAAATAAATATTTCATATATATTTTGATGCCAAAGGACTCCAGTTTTCATGGTACAAGAACAGAATTTGAAGAACACTGCTCTCCACTTCTGAGATTGGTTTTAACTGTACTATCAAGAAAGAAAAACAGCAACAAGAAGTAATTTGCAGACTTCTATACATTGTAATTGCAAAAAAATTTTTATTGTTATAACAGTTGCTCTCATAGTTGCTGTTGCAGAAATGGGTTATGGCTTCTAGATACAAGGTGTATCTCTTGTACAAATGGGAGTATCTCTTGAATCCATTGTTGACCTATAGGAGTGATATTTTCTAGACATGCTCAATACTAATCAAGGCCATGTTTAGTTCAAATTTTACCTTAATAAAACAAGTGAGGACTCAAGAATGGGTAGTACATGTGTTAGGAGAGGAAGACAAACAACCAACGGCACTTACAAAGTGTTTAAAGAGCCATTTCATCCCCCTTTCATAGACAATCCAATAGTTTAGAGTAGTTGAGTCTAGCAAGACAGAAAAGTTAATTTCCGCAAACACTCTGGATTACAGGCCAACAGAAGGCAGACACGGTCAAGCAAGCAATCTCTTGAGTTGATAGAATTCTTGTGTCCAGGCCAACTTTAATTGCTGTGTCAAACCTATTCAGTAATTCTGGCTCAGTGAGGAGTGGGAAAAAAGGAGGGGGGCAGCATCACTTCCAAATGTTCTAGGTAGCAACGAAACTGCTATCCCTTCCCCCCCCATTTTTATTTTAGATTCAGGGGGTTCGCGTACATGTATATTACATGGACATATTGTGTAGTGGTGAAGACTGGGTCTCAAGTGGCCCATTTCCCAGATAGAGAACACTGTACTCCTTAGGTAATTTTTGACTCCTATCTCCCTTCCCCTGCTGTCCCTTTAAATTAGAGGTCCATGTTATCAGATATCTGAAGGATAGAAGTTAAGGAAAATTGTAAGAGAGATAAACCATCTAGCTTCTGGGAAGCAGAAAAAGCTTTCATATTTTTTTTCCTAATATGTAATGCAGTGCACATTAAGGTTTTTAAATACTCAAATACTTAATCTTTTGCTTTTGCTGTATCACTGAATAACTGGAAAGGGTGTGGGTCTATTTGAGCCTACAGAATAATTAAATTTGAAAAACAGGGAAAGACCTCTGTATTATATATAAAGAAGGTAACCTAGAAGAGCAAATCAACCTTACAATTCTCTAACACAAACAATTTTTATTATCAAATATTCTAGATAATGTAAAAGTAAGATACTTTTCTACAACTGAACCCATAAACTAATTTCTTTCAAAACCATCAGCCATGGCTTTGGAGTTTCCTTTTTTTAAAAAAAAGCACACAGAGATATAACAAAATGTTTTCTTTTCTTTTTTTTTTTGAGTTGGAGTCTCACTCAGTCGCCCAGACTGGAGTGCAGTGGCCGCTCCCAGCCACCGTAGCCTCGACCCGGTGGGCTCCGGTGATCCTTCTGCCTCAGCTTTCCAAGTAGCTGGAACTACAGGCGCGCACTACCATGCCCGGTTAATTTTTTGATTTATTGTAGAGATGAGGTCTCATCAAGTTGCCCAGGCGGGTCTCGAGCCCGTGGACTCAGGCAATTCACTCACCTCAGCCTCCCAAGGTGCGGGATTATAGGCTGAGCCACCGAGCCTGGCTACAAAATGTTTTCTACTGTTTAAGACTTAGCTATTATTTTTTCCTGAGATGATATTGAGTCCAAATTCCTGAAAAATAGGAATTTTGCTTGGAGAAAAGGTAAGTGCTTTTTAACTTCTCTTATTAAGAAAAAATATTTTTTTAAGCAGCTCTATTTGAGTAAGCAGAAATATAAACACTTAACACACAAGACAAACTGATGACTTCTTACCTTGCTACCACTTTCAGGTTTAAGGTCACTCTGTTAAAAAAGAGAAAAACAATGTTTTAGGACATATCCAAATGAACTTTATGGGCTTGCTTCTAAACTTGGAATATGAGACGACATTCTCGTGATAGCAAATTCCCTGGGAGACTTCAGGATCTGTAGAAGGGTACTGACCCCACTCTGAGGGGTCCCTTGTTAGAATGATATGTAATGTTTACAGTTGCCTTAAAAAGTCCATAATTACTACATTTAGTAAAGAACTTTGCTTTTCAAAAATAAATCAATAAATAAAAATAACCCCAAACCAGTTCTCTTAGCTTTTACTACATGTGCTATATAGTAAATTTTTGGAAAAAATTTAGCCTGATAGCTGGGTTGAATGAATTTCCATTTTAATAATTAATACCCTCATCCTACTGTGTGGCTGTTCAGTGGTTTTCTCTGCATAACTGCTCCTAGCTCTGATCACTTACCGGATGGACATCACCAATATAGTACTGCTTTAGCATTTCTCTGGCATCAGTGGAGTGGCCTACATCTTCAAAGCTTTCACTTGCATCTGCACCAGCTTGTTCCTGCAAAACCTCTTCTCCACCAGGATGCTACAAGGAAAAGATATTACTGAACAGAGGATTCTCCAAAAGGGCAACCAATAAGTTACTTTCCCATCTCCTTTCCTCCTTTTTCTTTTCTCCCTTTAATTAAAATAATGGAACAAATTTACATTGGGTGCTACCTCACAGGATGCAATGGGAAGAATACAGCATGACTTCTGTGATATTCTCATCAAAAATGTATAAAACGGGGATTGTTGTGAAGAAACCTAGAACAACTACAAATTGAGAGATATTCTATAAAATCCCTCTGGACAGAACTGGCCTGTGACCTCCAAAGATATCAAGGTCATGAAAGACAATTGAAGAGGCTTTGAGACAGCTGCAGAAACCCGAATGGGGGACTCCAGGCAAAGGGTGCATGGAATTCTTTATTCTATTCTTCCAACTTTTCTGTAAGATTGAAATTGTTTCAAAATAAAAGGTAAAATAAATAAATAAATAGTGCCAGAGGAAGTAGATTCTATAACTACTCATATAAGCTATCTGGTTCTGGACAAGTTACTAAGAAACTGAGATGTCTTTGTTTTCTTATTTGTAAAATGCACATAGTTAAGAGTACCTATCTTGAGTACTATTGTCATATTAAATGAGATAAAAATATAAAATATTTGGTACTCTAGAAAATTCAAGTGGTGTCAGTATAATAAGCTACCATTTATGATTTTACAAAGCAGGTACATATAAGCTCACACAGGCATAAAATACCTCTGGAAATGCTGAAAAGAATCTGGCAGCTGGGAGACAAGGTGAAAAGAAGACTCCAGTATATATGCTTTTGAAATTGTTTTACCACATACAGCATTACCTACTCAAAAATAAATTGTTTTTTTAAATTACATTTAGCACAGTCCCTGACCTAACTATTCAATAAGCATTTATTCATCATTAGCAAATTTAAAATTTATATTATTCAACATATCTAAGTTTGTGTATTTTAAATACTAAGTAATACTCTTTACTCGGTAACTTTTTATAACAGCCATTTAAGCAGGAATAATATTATCAACCCTATTTTAAATAAATGTTAATTCAACTGAAGTACAAAAACTCTAGTCATAGTCATTTGCCTATGAGTTCCATGAGGGTAAGGACACCTTCTATTTTTGTCTCCACCCAGTGAGTGGGTTTCACATCCCAGTATTTAAGCAAGCTATTTTTTTTTTTTTTTTTGAGTACACTCTGTCGCCCAGACTGGAGTGCAGTGGCCACTCCCAGCCACCGCAGTCTCGACCTGCTGGGCTCTGGCGATCCTTCTGCCTCAGCCTTCTAAGTAGCCGGAATTACAGGCATGCGCTACCACGCCCGGCTGATTTTTTTTGATTTATTGCAGAGATGAGCTCTCGCTGCCCAGGCGGGTCTCGAACCCGCGGGCTCAGGTGATCCAGTCACCTCAGCCTCCCAAAGGCACAGTATTACAGGCTGAGCCACCAAGCCCGGCTAAGCAAGCTATTTTAAAGCAAGAGTAAGATACCCACCATTCATTTGTTATTATACCCGAAACCTCTCAGATGTATTCTTATCATGGAACTCAGATATTGGTTCTGGAATTACATCCCAATTTGCTCTATATGCCTAATATATGAAATATATTTTTCTTTATGACACACTCCAACTATTATGTTGCCTTTCAGAGTAAAAAGATAAGAAAACTTCTTGAGACATTTCAGGGAATGATTGAATTTATGACTTGCTACACAAGTATCAGATAAATTAATAAATAAATAAGAGAAAGCACAATGCTTTTTTAAAACACAGAAGTAAAAATTATATATTTACTGTGGTAATTCTGGTACAATAAGAATAAAGAATTGACTACAGTCTCGTAACAGAAATAATACAGTTAACAATTCGGTACATTAAAATTCCTCTGTATATTCTTTCAGTCATTTCAGTCATTATTCTACAATTTTTATTGAGTCCTTACTATTGTATGTAGTAGGCAGTAATAAATAAAATGTTTGTGTTCTCACAAAAGTGAATATATACAGAACATAATGTTTTATTTCCTGCATTTTTTTTTCACTGAAGCAAGGGAAGTCAGAGTGGTCAAACTCCTCAGTTTAATAACTCTCATTCTAAAATGTGCTTAATATAGAGATGGCTTAGAACAAGCACAAAGATGTCAGAGAACTCTTGATTTCTGCCTCAGAATTCTATCGTCCTGAGATACTGTTTTTTTTTTTTTTTTGAGTCGGAGTCTCACTCTGTCGCCCAGACTGGAGTCATGTGGCATGCTTCCAGCCACCACAGCCTCGACCTGCTGGGCTCCGGCGAGCCTTCTGCCTCAGTCTTCCAAGTAGCCAGAACTACAGGCATGTGCTACCAGGCCCGGCTAATTTTTTGATTTATTGTAGAGACAAGGTCTCGCCAAGTTCTCCAGACTGGTCTCGAACCTGCGGACCCAGGCAATCCACTTGCCTCAGCCTCCCAAAGTGCTGGGATTACAAGCAGAACCAACCGAACCCGGCCGAGATAATGTTCTTTAAAAATCAGATGGATGCAGGGCTGCAGTGGGCCGCTGACAGCTCAGCTGGAAGCAGAGCACTTGGTCCCAGGCTGTGGCAGGGTCCCGGGCCAGTCCTAGGCCAAGATAATGCCCAGGCTGAGGGGCATGAGGAAGCTTCAAGGAGAACCCAGAGAAGAGGTCCGGAAGAAGCCAGGCCAGCTCTCTGTAAAGATGTGGATAGGAGCTGCTGTTCAACGTCAACAGCAGCCTCTGGACAATCCTGCCCATACTTTTCATCATCTGCTTCTTGGACACGAGTCACTACTATGTATTCATGCTGCTGCAGAGCAACCAGAAGCCGCCCTAGAACAAGTATCTGATAGTTAAATCTTAATTGGAAGCCTTCTGGGAAAATGGAAATTACATTCCCAAAGTCTTTTTTCTTGACATGAACCCAGAGGATGGACTCAAAATTAAAAAAAAAAAAACTAAAAGGAAAATATTGCCACTTTGTCCCACTGTGCTCTCAGACATGATGAAATAAAATGTACTAAATGTCTCCCTTTCTATTCTTATTGGTGGATGGATCAGTAGGACATTCTTAGACTTTGTCACAACCAACATCCTATTTCCACTAACCTTTTGTCTTAAGCCTAGGCTGCAGCAAGAAATCAAGTTATCTGCATTAGTAAACTCTAGAAATGAAAGGCAGAATACCTGGCTCTGGGTATTCCTTTTGAATGGCTCTGTGTATTCCTTTTGAAAAGAATTTATGTAAATAAAGTTTTGACACATTTGCTCTTCATGTCATTCTACAGGCTCAAAATGAGCAATACAAGGAGATTCATTTTGCTCATGCATAGTTTCTTTTTTGAGTCAGAGTCTCATTCTGTTGTCCAGGCTGGAGTGCAGTAGCACACTTATGCCCACCATGGCCTTGATCTGCTGGGCTCAAGTGATCCTTCTGCCTTAATCTGTTATATCATCCTATAGGCTAAACAAAACTAAACTGTTTTCTTGGGATCAAAACACCCTGCATTTTTACATTTAACTGTGTTCATATTTTTAAATTAAGGTTAATGAGAACATATAAAAACTTACCTGCCTTTCACATTTGGTGGGTTTAAAAAAAAATAAAACTTACTAAAAAATTCAATCTTTTTTTGAAAAATAGAAATGGGGTCTTAATATATTGCCCAGACTGGTCTCAAACTCCTGGCCTCAAGCAATCCTCTGACCTTAGCCTCCCAAAGTGCTGGGATTATAGGCATGAGCCACCATGCCTGGCTGAAAAAGACAATCTTTGAAAAAGCATTATGAATTATAATTATTACGCGCAGTCTGATTTTTTTTTTTTTTTTTTTGAGTAGGGTCTCATTCTGTTTCCCAAGCTAGAGTGTAATGGTGTGATTAAGGCTACAGCAGCCTCCAATTCCTGGGCTCAAGCATTCTTCCTGTATTGGCCTCCCGAGTAGCTGGGACTACAGGTGCATACCACCATGCTTGGTTAATTTTTTACATTTTTTTGTAGAAATAAGGTTTTGCTATGTTGCCCAGGCTGGTCTTGAACTCCTGGGCTCAAACAATCCTCCTGTCTCAGTCTCCCAAAGTGCTAGGAGTACAGGCATGAGCCACCATGCCCAGCCTTAAGTTTGATTTTTAACAACACTAAACTACTGTTTTCTTGGGCTCAAAACACCCTGAAGTTTTACATTTGTGTTCACATTTCATAACTTTCTTTATAGAAATAATTTTCGTTACCAAAAATTTAGAAACTACGCATGAATAGCCGGGTATAATAGCTCACACCTGCAATCCCAGCATCTTGGGAGGCAGAGGCGAGAGGATTGTCTGATCCCAGAGGTTTGAGACCAGCTGGGGCAACTTGGTGAGACCTCGTGTCTACAATAAATTAAAAAATTAGCCAGGCATGGTAGCGCGTACCTGTAGTTCCAGCTACTTGGAAGGCTAAGGTGGAAGGATAACCTGAGCCCAGTAGGTCAAGGCTGCGGTGGTCGTGAACATGCTACTGCACACCAACCTGAGCGACACAGTAAGACTCCAACTCTAAAATAAACTATACATAAGTAAAATGAATCTCCTTGTATTGCTCATTTTGAGCCTACAGAATGACATGAAGATCAATGTGTCAAAACTTTATTTAAATAAATTCTTTTCAAAATGAATACCCAGAGCCAGGATAGATGTAGCAAATCTTCTATATCTGTAATACTGTCCAGGGAAAATTGATAACCCTCAAGTACTACCCGATCCTCAAGTTCTTTCAGGATCATCAAAGATAAGTGAAGTAATGGGAGTTAAGAATATATAAAACTCTCTCAAAAATCAATGTTTCTGTATATAGCCACTTAGCTGAAGTAAAAATCCAATTATTCTGAATAAGAGAATTTACTTAATGTTTTAAGAAGGAAGAGAGATGCTAGGCATGGTGATTGCAGCACTTTGGGAAGTCAAGGTAGGAGGACTGCTTAAGGCTAGTAGTTCACGACCAGTCTGAGCAACATAGCTAGATCCCGTCTCTACAAAAAATTAAAAAAATCAGCCGAACATGGTGGCTTGCACCTGTAGTCCCAGCTACTAGGGGGGCTGAGGCAGGAGTTTGATGTCACAATAAATTATGATCATGCCACTACATTTCAGCCTAGGAGACTGAGCAAGAACCTGTCTTAAAAAGATGTGGGGGTGGTGCTCGTCTCTCTGAGCCATCCAGTGCCATTCTCATTGCTGTGGCGACACTCACACTTGCTGCTGCCATGACTGAGCAGATGACCCTTCATGGCACCCTCAAGGGCCACAACGGCTGGGTAACGCAGATCGCGACACTCCGCAGTTCCTGGACATGATCCTTTCTCCCTCTTGAGACAAGATCATTACCACATGGAAGCTCACCAGGGATGAGACTAACTATGGCATCCCACAATGTGCTCTACAGAGTCACTCCCACTTTGTTAGTGACGTGGTGATCTCCTTGGACAGCCAGTTTGCCCTCTTGGGCTCCTGGGATGGAACCCGGCATCTCTGGGATCTCACAACAGATACCACCACAAGAAGATTTGTGGGTCATACCAACAAGATGTTGAGTTGTGGCCTTTTCCTCTGATAATCGGCAGACTGTCTCTGGATCCCAAGATAAAACTAGCAAGTTATGGAAGACTCTGGGTGTGTACAAACACACTATCTAGGATGAGAGCCACTCAGAGTGGGTATCTTGTGTCCACTTTTCACCCAACAGCAGTAATCCTATCATCGTTTCCTGCGGCTGGGACAAGCTGGTCAAGGTATGGAATCTGGCTAAATGCAAGTTGAAGATCAACCACATTGGCCACACAGGCTATCTGAACACTGTGACAGTCTCTCCAGATGGATCCCTTTGTGCTTCTGGAGGCAAGGATGGCCAGGCCATGCTATGGGATCTCAATAAAGGCAAGCACCTATATACGCTAGGTGGTGAGGACATCAACACCCTGAGCTTCAGCCCCAGCCGCTACTGGCTCTGTGCTGCCACAGACCCCAGCATCAAGATCTGGGACTTAGAGGGCAAGATCATTGTAGATGAGCTGAAGCAGGAAATTATTAGTACCAGCAGCAAGGCAGAGCCATCCCAGTGCACCTCTCTGGTCTGGTCGGCTGATGGCCAGACTCTGTCTGCTCGCTATACAACCTGGTGCGAGTGTGGCAGATGACTGTCAACACCCGTTAGAAATGTATGGCAGAGCTTTAGAAATTAAAAAAAAAAAAAAAAAAAAAAAATGGTTTTCTGAGTTAAAAAAAAAAGGAGGCAGGGAAGCCAGGCACGGTGGCTCACACCTGTAATCCCAGCACTCTGGGAGATGGAGGCAAGAGGACTGCCTGAGCCCAGGGGTTCAAGACTAGCCTGGGCAATTTGGTGAGACCTCATCTCTACAATAAATCAAAAAAATTAGCCAGGTGTGGTGGCACATGCCTGTGGTTCCAGCTTCTTGGAGGGATGAGACAGAAGGATCACCTGAGCCCAGCAGGTCGAGGCTACAATGGCCGTGAGCATGCCATTGCACTTCAGCCTGGGCAACAGAGGGAGACTCCAACTCAAAAAAAAAAGAGGTGAGAAGGGGAGAGGGCAATTGTTGGCAGACATATAGATAAAGGTTGCATAAGAATTATTATGTCTGAATTAAATATCCCAGAGAAGTGGCAGGACGCCATTTCTGTATCAACAGATAGATGTAATTTGCATGATGAGAACTGTAATCAAGAACAAAGAACTTGACTAAAAATTAAATCATCCTTTTTCTCTTTAAGAAATAAATCAAATGGAAGTGGAGAAATTAGAATATCATCTGTGAACTTTACTGATGTCAGTATCCTGGTTGTGATACTGTACTACGGTTTTACAAAATGTTACAACTGGGAGAAACTGGGTGAAAGGTACAAGGGATCGCTATTATTTCTTACTACCTATGAATCTACAAGTATTTCAATAAAAACTTCCATTAAAAAAATAAAATGGGATTCCTTAAGTATATACTCAAGAGAAATGTGTAATAGATATGTGTACTCACATATATATATACACAAACGATCATAGAAGCATTATTCATTATGGCTTTTCTTTTGTTTTTGAGTTGGAGTCTCAATGTCACCCAGGTTGGAGTGCAGTGGCACGCTCCCGGCCACCGCAGACTTGACCTGCTGGGCTCCGGCGATCCTTCCGCCTCAGCCTTCCAAGTAGCTGGAACTACAGGCGCGTGCTAACACATACAGCTAATTTTTTTTTAATTATAGAGATGAAGTCTCGCCAAGTTGCCCAGGTGGGTCTCGAACCCGTGGGGTCAGGCAGTCCACTCACCTCAGCCTCCCAAAGCACTGGGATTACAAGCTGAGCCACCGAGTTCGGCTCATTATGGCTTTAAACTGAAAATAACCCAATGTCGGCAGCAGAGTATTAATACATTGAAGTACAATCATATTGATGGAATTCTAAACAGCAAATTAAAAGAATGAACAACATGCTACATGCACAACATGAGAATACATGTCAAACCGAAATAAGAAAACAGACACAAAAGAATATATAGTGCAAAACTCTCATTAATAAAAGTTCAAAAACAAGCCGGGCTCGATGGCTCAGCCTGTAATCCCGCGCCTTTGGGAGGCTGAGGTGAGTGGATTGCCTGAGCCCGTGGGTTTGAGACCCGCCTGGGCAGGCGAGACCTCATCTCTACAATAAAACAAACAAAAAAATTAGCCGGGTGTGGTAGCGCGTACCTATAGTTCCAGCTACCTGGAAGGCTGAGGTGGAAGGATCGCCAGAGCCCAGCAGGTTGAGGCTGCAGTGGCCGGGAGCGGCCACTGCACTCTAGCCTGGGTGACAGAGTGAGACTCCAACTCAAAAAAAAAAAAAAAAAAAAAAAAACTCTCATTAATAAAAGTTCAAAAACAAGCCGGGCTTGGTGGCTCAGCCTGTAATCCCGCGACTTGGGAGGCTGAGGTGAGTGAATTGCCTGAGTCCATGGGTTCGAGACCCACCTGGGCAACTTTGTGAGACCTCATCTCTACAAAAAATCAAAAAATTAGCCGGGCGTGGTAGCGTGCCCCTGTAGTTACAGCTACTTGGAAGGCTGAGGTGGAAGGATCTCCAGAGCCCAGCAGGTCGAGGTTGCGGTGGCCGGGAGTGGCCACTGCACTCCAGTCTGGGCGACAGAGTGAGACTCCAACTCAAAAAATAATAATAATAATAAAAGTTCAAAAACAGGCAAAATGAATCTATGCATTACAGTAACAGAGTGGGTACCTTTGGGGTGAGGAAGGACAAGATGTTATACAAGTATCTTCACTTACTAGAGTGACCTGGTTAAATCACAGAAGTATACACAATATCTAAAGTAGTCAAATTCACAGAAACGAGGTAGAATGGTGGTTGCCAGATGTGGGGGGGAAAAGGGCAAAAAGGGGACATGCTTAATGAGATTCAAAAGTTCTGGAGATCTGATTCACAATAAGAATGTAATTAACACTACTAGATTGTATACTTAAAAATGTTTAAGATGGTAGATTTTTTTGCTGTTTAATATAAATTTCTAAAGTAAATATATGTGCATGTATTTATACATACATACACAGTTGCTATAAAACTAGAGAAAAGGTTGGGTGCGGTAGCTCATGCCTGCAATCCCAGCACTTTGGGAGGCGGAGGTGAGAGGACTGCCTGAGCTCAGGGGTTCAAGACCAGTCTGGGCAATTTGGCGAGACCTCGCCTCTACAATAAATCAAAAAATAAGGCAGGTGTGGTGGTGCATGCCTGTGACTCCAGCTACTTGGAAGGCTGAGGTGAAAGGATCACCTGAGCCCAGAGGGTCAAGGCCGCAGTGGCCATCAGTGTGCCACTATACTCCATCCTGGGCGAAAGAGTGGAACTCTGACTCAAAAAAGAAAAAAGAAAACTAGGGAAAAGATGGAAATACTAAACATGGAATTAGGAGTGATGGTTATCTTTGGTGGGGGACAAGAGGCAAAAGGAAATAACAGGTAAAAGACCACTTGAGGCCAGGCTCGGTGGCTCAGCCTGTAATCCCAGCACTTTGGGAGGCCGAGGTGAGTGGATTGCCTGAGCCTGCGGGTTCGAGACCTGCCTGGGTAACTTGGCGAGACCTCATCTCTACAATAAATCAAAAAATTAGCCGGACGTGGCAGCGCGCGCCTGTAGTTCCAGCTACTTGGAAGGCTGAGGCAGAAGAATCGCTGGAGCCCAGCAGGTCGAGGCTGTGGTGGCCGGGAGCGGCCACTGCACTCCAGTCTGGGCGACAGAATGAGACTCCAACTCAAAAAAAAAAGAAAAAGACCACTTGATTAGATCCAGGTTATTGTTAAGGTCTTAATTTTTATTTTGGGTAGTGAGTTAACAAATGCTTGTTACATTTAAAATAATTACATATATATGTAATTATTATATTACATATATATTTGTATATATATTACATATATATTTGTATTATATAAAAGAAATGTATTACATGCACTTCATCTGGAGTTAGAAGTCAGGATAGCAGTTACTTTGAGGAAGGAAGGAGGGGTATTGATTAGAAAGAAGCACTTTCAGGGTGCTAGCACTGTTTCTTTCTCAGCTTGAACAGTGGTTTCACAAATGTGTTGACTTAGTGAAAATTTGTTGAACTTGCTTTTAGGTTTGGTGTATTTTTCTGTTACAGTTTAAAAAAATATTTCTTTAAAAATGCAATTGAAATTTGTTAGGAAGAGGCACCTGGGTATGTTGACTGATTAGATACAAGGAAGTTTTTTTCACATTTTTTAGCTGTAGAATACTTTCTTCAAGCAATATTTTGGATGGAAGCCCAATACACAATCGAGCATATGTGATTAAAGTGCACAGCAATCTTCAAGGATCAGTTTGAAAACCAGTGACACAGACAAAAGGACAAAGAAGACGAGATTTCAAATCAAGTGACACCATTGGCAGACACAGAGCAGTAGGTTTTGGAAGAAGATGAGTTTAATTTCAGTCATGCTGGGTCTGAGATAACAGCAGAAACTTCAAGTTCAAGGGTCTTCAGAAAGCACAGTTGTAAACCACCAGTACACAGAAATGTGCTGCAGCAAATTTAATGTATCCATCAACATTTAAAATGCACCAGAAAAGTGATCAGACAAGGAAGAAACTAGAATAATGCATAAGGAGTTGCACCTCTTAAACAAATTCACAGACCATAAGGCCAGTGGTAGGCAAAAGAGTATGTTTCAACCATAGCCCACATACCATGAAAGATGGGCCAAGTTTCTTTTTTCTTTTTTCTTTTTTTTTTTTTGAGTCAAGGTCTCACTCTGTCATTCAGGCTGGAGTGCAGTGGCATGATCAGGACAATCACAGCTCACCACACCCTTGATTTCCTGGGCTCTGGTGATCCTCCCACCTCAGCATCTCGAGTAGCCAGGAATACATGCACACGCCACCACACCTAGCTAATTTTTTGATTTTTTGTAGAGACAAAGTTTCACTATGTTGCCCAGGTTGGCAAGTTTCAATCTTGGAGACCTGCTTACCAACAGGTCCGGCCCAACCAGTTCCTGTCTGCAAGTAGTGATAAATGAGAACTTGGTTTAGAAGAATACACAGGAGTGGCCAGGCTCAGCCTATAATCCCAGCACTTTGGGAGGCTGAGGCTAGTGGATTGCCTGAGCCCGTGGGTTTGGGACCAGCCCAGGCAACTTGATGAGACCTCATCTCTACCATATATAAATATAAAATTAGCCGGGCATGGTAGTGTGTGCCTGTAGTTCTGGCTACTTGGAAGGCTGAGGTGGAAGGATAGCTGGAGCCCAGCAGATCATTGCTAGGGTGGCTGTTAGTGTGCCACTGCACTCCAGCCTGGGCAACAGAGTGAGACTCCAACTCAAAATAAATAAATAAATAAATAAATAAAAAGAATGCACAGGAGTAAATATTCCTGATACTGGATCAGGCAATGGTTTCTTTAAGGCAACAAAAGAAAAAAATAGATAAACTGAACTTCATCAAAATTTAAAACTTTTGTGCTTCAAAGAACACTATCAAGAGAGTGAAGACAATCCACAGAATGGAAGAAAACTCTGAACTCAACAAAAACACAACTCAATTTCAAAATGGCTATAGGATTTAAACAGACATTTCTCCAAGGCTATACAAATGGCACATGAAAAGATGTTCATTGTCACTAGTCATTAAGAAAA